GGCGGGACGCCCGGCCGGGCAGCTTCCTTCTCTGTTGCCTGCCTGGGAGTGGCGTCCACGCCCGCTCCGCCATGACCCTGGCAGTATCTGACCTCGGAAAAGTTTGTGTCTTTATGGCATTTCCACCCCGAGACCCAGCTCCCCCGAAGGTGGCTGCCTCCCCAGGGGTGCGGGGCCTCCCGGGGCCTCGAGGTGTCGGTGTTTCATGGCTCACCGGGCGGAAGGGCCCTCGCAGGGCTCCTGGGGAAGCTCCTCCCGTCTGCTTACTCACCAGAGGCCCCTCGCCCGGAAACACCAGCAGGGCCCTGGGCTGCCCTGCCCGCCTGCCCACCCGATGCCATTTGCAATGGAGGGGCCGCCCTGAATGTGCTGGCAGCGGGCCCTGCTTTTATTAGCTCTCCACCCCCACCCACCCAGCTACCCCGGAGAATCCTCCCACCTGCAGGCGGCCCCAGGTCCTGGGAGGCTGCTGGGCGGCTTTCATTGGAGAGGAGCCAGGCTTGGGCACCCACAAGGCTCGGACAGTAGTGACAAGTCCTCCCAGCTGACCTTGGGGCCGGGAAGTGGTTAATCAGGTTCCCTGAGGCCCAGCTCCTGCCAGAGTTAGCCCCTACCCCCCACCCGCAGGCCTTTCAGGGTCCCCGTTGGTTTCCTCCGGGCCATTCCCACCCGAACTTCCCTGCTGCCGGTAGGTGGACTGCTGCTTACGTAGACCTTTGGGCCCAGCTGGTTCTCCGGCTGGCCAGGTGTCCCCGTAGAGACCAGAGTTAGAGACCATATGTGGCCAACTCGGACCTGGGGGATTCGCACCCTAATGCTGCTCTCCGGGGGCTGGCACCCCCGGCAGCCCTGCTTTGGAGAGATGATGATGCTGGGTTCTTTGTCTTTGGCGGTCTGCTCGTTCCTTCTCCGCTAAATGCTGTGGGGTCTTCTTCTTACAGCCTCTCAGAATACGCATTTGTCGTTCTAGGAGAATGTGTTTACCGGGCAGTCCAAGATCTACACCTACATGAGCCCGAACAAATGCTCTGGAATGCGTTCCCCCCTTCAGGAAGAGAACTCAGTTGCACATCACGAAGTCAAATGCCAGGGGAAGCCATTAGCCGGAATCTACAGGAAACGGGAAGGTAAGCCTGGGAAACAGCCCTGCTCTGACCACAGCGGCCTGGGCCACAGAAGCCTCTCTCCTCCGTAATTATGCATCTATATTAGGTTTTTATCCAACCTTTTCATACCCAAGTGGGAAAGGAGCCACATTCTGTCTTGCTGCTAAGAAACGCAGACACAGGGGAACCGGCGGCCCAGCCCAGGGCGTGTGCCCTGTCGGCCTAACAGGTTCTGCTGCTTTCACCAGAGTTGGCGTGTCCTTCGGGCTTGATTATCTTGCTGGATTGCAAAAATAATGCCCCCGATTTGCAAGGAAAGAGGCTCACAGGTGCCAAATGTGCAGAAATTATGAGTCTGGCTTGTTCAGAGCAGCCGCTTGCAGGCCTGGCTGTTGTGTGAGCACCGGGCCTTGACTTCCTTCCCTTTCATGAGCTGGCCTTGACCTCATTTCTAAAGTTTCTTTCCACTCAAGTGTTCAGAGCTCCTCTCTCACGCAGCATAGTCTGCAGTGAGTTTAAATACTGAACGAGAAAAGTATACGGTTAGTGAGAGTTCTGTCTGGACCCGCAAAACAAGCGGAAATCCTGCTCCAATCCAAATAGCCGCTTTCCACGTGGCACTGGGGCGTGTGAGAATGTCCCAGTTCACCAGGCTCCCTTCTAGTAACAGTTGCCTTAAAACAGCAGAACTCTGACCACCAGCAGCTCCATGTTAACAGAAAGTACCACAAGTGATGGGTGAGCCCAGCCTCTGGTGCCAGAGCTGAGAACCAGGGGCAGGAGCCAGCCCGTCTTTTTTTTTTTTTTAATATATTTTTGTTGATTTCAGAGAAGGGAGAGGGAAAGAGAGATAGAAACATCAATGATGAGAAAGAACCATTGACCGGCTGCCTCCCGCACGCCCCCCACTGGGGGTCGGGCCCACAGCTAGGGCATGTGACCCTTGACTGGAATCGAACCTGGTACCTTTTAGTCCACAGGCCGACGCTCTATCCACTGAGCCAAGCCAGCTAGGGCGCCAGCCCGGTCTTGATCCATCCCAGTGCACAGGGCCATGCTATTTCGTTGATTTTCAAATGACCTGGGTTCTAACCCTCACCTGCCACTTATATGGAGGAGGCTTGGGCAGATGGCTCCTCTTTTCTGAGCCTCGGTTCTCCCATCTGTAAAGTGGGAGAGTGGCTACTCTGAAGATCAGTTAAAGCATGGATGCCAAAGGTCCTTGTGAAATGCTCCCTCCGACAGTCCTTCCTCTGCTGGACCTCAGTGTCCCAGCCTGCTCCTCCCTGGATAGCCAGCACTTAGGGTAGCAGCGGCCACATAGGGGTGGGTGGAGGGGCTCTGTCTACATGCGATCAGCCTGTCTCATGTCCCTTCTGGAATGGGGCACCAGTAAATGGTTCTCAGTGGCAACATGCACACAAGCAAGCTTGTTTGGCTCATAGTATCACTAAATGGCAACGAACAGAATTTGGGGCCAGATATACGTAGGAGGAGACCCCCAAGGCCAGGCTCTTATTCTTGATTTTCAGCCTTTTTTCTGCCTTGATGTGACAGCTGGCGTTCATGGGCTCCCCGCACTCCTGGCCTCATCTCCCTCTGGTTCCACTCAGAAAGGCCGATAAGGGAGCGAGAGCGGCCTGGAGGGGTTTCGATGTGTGTATTTTTTCATCACCCCCAAAGAAACCCAGTATTAGTAGTCACACCCCATTCCTCCCTCCTCTAGCCCCAGGCAACTGCCAGTCGACTTCCTGTCTCTATGGATTTGCTTGTTCTGGACGTTGCCTGTAAATGGACTCATATAATACATAGCCTTTTGTGCCTGGCCTCTCTGCCTCAGCATTTTTAAGATTCATCCACGTTGTCGAGTGGACCAGTGCTTTATTCTTTTATGTGACTAAATAATATTCCCTCATGTGGCTCGACCACATTTTATTTTCCATCCACCAGTTGATGGAAGTGTGGGTTGTTTCCATTGTTGGCTATTATGAATAAGCTTCCATAAACATTCATATACAGGTTTTTATGTAGAAACGTTTTTAATTCTCTTCATAGATGCCTAGGAGATGCATAGATTGCTGGGTCAGAGGGTAACGCTACGTTTAACTTTTTAAAGAACTGCCATGCTCTTCTGCACCATTTTACATTCCTACCACCCATGTATTATTTACTTTAAAAAAAGTTATTTATTTTATTGTTGAGAGTATTACAGATGTCCCCCTTTATTTTTTAAATATTTTCACTTATTTATTTATTTTTATATATTTTTATTGATTTCAGAGAGGAAGGGAGAGGGAGAGAGAGATAGAAACATCAATGATGAGAGAATCATTGATCGGCTGCCTCCTGCATGCCCCACACTGGGGATCGAGCCCACAACCCAGGCATGTGCCCGACCGGAATCTAACTGTGACTTCCTGGTTCATACGTCAATGCTCAACCACTGAGCCATGCTGGCCGGTATTACTTACTAATTTTAGAGAGAAGAGGAGAGAGAGAGAAATATCTACTTGTTCTTCCACTTATTTATGCATTCATTGGTTGATTCTTGTGTGTGTTCTGATTGGCAATCAAACCTGCACCCTTTACATATCAGGACGACACTCTAACCAACTGAGCTACCCAGCCAAGGCAGTCAATTATAGCTCAATAAAGCTGAGAAAAGTGCAGAAGACCAAAAGCTCTGCCCAGTGTTTCTGTCAAACAGTAAAGCCATTCGTGGACACGGGGCTTAACAGGCAAGGGCACACACCCATGACCCCCGCTTTCTCACAGCCTGTCTTAGAACGCAGCTGAAGGTCTAACGGGGCGTCTAGAGTAAACCTCTCTCTCTCCCCTCTGCCTGCAGAGAAAAGAAACACTGGGAACGCAATACGAAGCACCATGAAGTCCGAGGAACTAAAGATCAAAGACGCCAGGAGAGGTCCCCTGGCACCTTTTCCAAACCAAAAACCCGAAGTAGCAGAACCTCCAAAAACTCCGACCTCGTCTTGTGATTCCTCCGGTGCAGCCATCGCCAAGCAAGCCCTGAAGAAGCCCGTCAAGGGCAAGCAGGCGCCTCGGAAAAAGTAAGCACCTCCCAGAGCGACTCCCCGCCCCGCCGTGCGGGCAGTTTGGTTTCTCTGGCCCCGGGGAGCTGGTTACGGGTAAGCAGGCCTCCCTCCCAGCTTCACTCACACTGAGGCTCACATCAGCCTCTCTCACGCTGAGGCCACACCCCTTGAGTCACCCCCCAGGGACCCCATCCTTGGCCAGCATCTCGGTCTGCCATGTGTCCAGAGCTCAGGGGCCCTCCCCTCCCCCGCGTGGCGCCCCCCTCACCCCTCCAACCCCCCCGCAGAGAACAGCCTGCTTCTGATACTCTCTCTGAGGCCCCCACGGGCAGGTGAGCCTATAACCACAGGCTGCGGTGCACACAGGTGTTTAAGCGACCTGGTTTCCAGGGAGCTGCCCCTCAGGAGTTGTGTGGCCCCCCTGGGTGCCAGCGTGGTTTTCTCTTCTCCCCCCTCCCCCCAGAGCTCAAGGAAAAACGCAACAGAATCGCAAACTCACAGATTTCTACCCTGTGCGAAGGAGCTCCAGGAAGAGCAAGGCCGAGCTGCAGGTAGAGTCCCGTGGTTTTAATTCCAGCTCTTGGGTGGTGGGGGGAGGGGGGGGGGAGGGGGGCTGCCCAGTGGGCAGTGCTCAGCATGTGGACCTGAGCTTTCTGGGGCAAGTCTCTGCCTCTGTGGCCTCGGTTTCCTCCAGCATCTCTTCGCCTGGTGGGGGTCATCATAGCGCTTGGTCACCATAGGGCTCGGTTGAGATGCCTCTGGGAAGGGGCATCGGAGCCTGTGGCACGTGGGCAGGGAAAGTCAGGCGTGACCCTGACGGCGGCTTTTCCAGGGCTTGCTGGCAGGGCCATTGGAGCCTGGCACCCTGGGGGAGGCTGTGCACGCATTCAGAGGCTGGTCTGTCTGCTGCCCAGAAGGTCCCATGTCGTGTCTCGAGGTGGTCAACAGCGATGGCTTGGGAGCCACTTACTGGGCGTACCACCTCCGGCCAGGAACGTCACCGCTCTGTGCCTCGGCTGCCCTGTCTGTAAAATGGGGCAGTGGAGCATCTTCGGGGGTGGCTGGGAGGGTTAATCACCTTCACACACACAGGACAGGTAGAACCAGGCCGGGCACACAGTAGGCGCTGCGCTTCCCCGGCCTCGTCCCTTCCCAAGGCTCCTCTCTGCTCTTTGCCACCCAGCCATGGCCCCTAAGCCCCTGTGAAAACCGGCAGGATGGCCAGCTGGGCCGGGGCCTCCGCCCGCTGAGTTGGCAGATGCTGAGCTGTGCGGCCGTCTAGTGGGTCAATATTTGATGCAGTGGGTGTGGTCACTGCCTTTCAGAGAAGGAAAGCCGGGCGTGCTCTGGCCCTGCTTCCCTCACCCTCCACTCAGGGGCCCCTGAGCTGAGGAAAACTGGGAGCGGCAGCCCCCCTGCTCTCTCACCCCAAAGCAGCCGAGGGCAGAGGGCCTGTGCCCAGGATTGCCACCCCACTGAGCGGTGGGGGCCCCCCGGCTGCCATAGTCCCTCCAGCATTCTTCATGTTCAGTCTCTAGGTACAGAGAAGGTCATTAGTATTTTTGCTCTCTCTCTTTTTTTCTTTGAATTGATGAGGCTTCATTTAAAAGAAAAACAAAATAAGGGTCCATTTTCCCCCCCGGGGAGCAGCTTTGGCTTGGTTTCCCGAGAAAGGCAGTGTCTTTCAGCCAAGAAGGGGCTGTTGTACGATGTTCGCCTGCAGCGAGAGGCCGTGCTGGGTCACTGAAAGACAGCATTGCAGAGGGCAAGGCGGTGCCAGGCCCAGCTCGCAGACGCCTCCCCGCCTCCCCGTGCGGTCGGAGCTGCAGTGTGCCCACACAGGGAGGCCGCGGGCTGCAGGGTGGGGCAGCCAAGTTGGCCTTAATAAAAACAGGGGCTTGTCTATCTGGGGGAGTGAAGGCTGCAATGGGCCGGGCTGCGATGCCTGTCTGCTGAGCCGGGCACCAGGCGTGCGGCGGGGAACGGACGCTGGCTTCCCCGGAGCTTGGCCCGCAGCCGGTAGATCCGCTCGGTCACCGGACCGAGAGCCACGCGGTGTCCCTCCTGTTTGCATTGGCGCTGCTGAGTGAACACCAAGGCCAGGTGGTGGCTGGCCGGGCGGTGGGCCAGGGTGGTGTCTCGCCCTGCCTGCCCTCTGGGCAGCAGAACCCGGGGCCCAGGTGGGTGAGCCATAAGAGAGGGGTGTGGGGAGCCAGGGGTGAAACAAACTGAAAGCCTGGCAGCCACGTCATTGAGTCTGAAGACAGCGTGGGCAGGGCCGGTCCAGAGCCCAGGGCAGGAGGGTGGGAACTGGGCCTTCGAGACATGCCCCGAACCGCTCATGGCTTCGCTGTGGCTGGTTGGCCTGGCTGTGGGTGGGGTGGCGGCCAGCACGGGGGCAGGGACTGCGCTGGTTGGCAGTGCCCTCCCTGGCTTCATGCCCAGCCCAGCCCTGGGCCTGCTCTGCACACACAGCTTTCTGACTCCAGTTCAGGGATGGCTCCTCCTATTCAGTCTGCCTGGGACCCCTGTGGGCCCAGGAAGCCTCGACCTGGTTGTTTGTGTGCCCCAAACCGTGCAGCCTTCAGAATGAAACTCAGTCCCCTTGGCTCTGCCTTCGGGGCATCGAGCTGGTCCCAGTTTTCCTCAGCTCGTCTCCCTGGTGCCATGTTCCCCCACGGCAGGAAAATCCCCAGTCACCTGCCCGTGTTCCTGCGAACACTCCCACTGACTCCGCCCGCTGTACCTCCTCCCCGGGCTGCATGCTTATTAACTAATGGTTCCTTGGGGTGTGCGTGTGCGTGTGTGTGTGTGTGTGTGTGTGTGTGTGTCTCTGTGTGTGTGTGCGTGTGTGTGTTGTCGCTCTGAGGGCTTACTAATGTGCCAGGCACTGTTCTGGGCCAGGAGAGCCCACAGTTAACCAGCCCAGTACTCACGGAGCTTATGAAAACATAACCAAAAAGCAAGATGACTTTGGCCAGCACATGTACATGAATAAACAGAGTAGTTTGATAGCGCAGCCAGGCCAAGGCTCCGTTGGCCACAGTAGTCAGGGGAATTTCTCCGAGGAGGTGCCTTGTGAGCCGATCCCGGGAGGAAGGGAGGAAGCAAGCCAGGTGAATGGACTGGGAAGAGGGTACTCCAGGCTGGGGGAATCAGCAAGTGCAAAGGTCCTGAGGCAGGAACAAGCCCGAGCTTCTGGAAGAGCCAGCCGCCATGGCCAGAGTGTGGAGCCAGGCGAGGACGGCCCGTGGGCTCGAGAGGCCGGGACCTGCAGAACCTCATGGGCCATCGGAAAAATGGGTTTTATCCTGGTAGCCGTGGGAAGCTACTGAAAGGCTTTTGTTTTTTTGTTTGGGGATGATTTGAGGTTTACAGAGGAGTGACAAAGATAGGACAGAGGGCTTCCATAGACCCCTTCCTCCCTTTCCCGCGGTACATTTGTCACACCAGGGACATTGCTGTGTGCGCATTACTACAGGGGTGGCTAAAGTAGTCTACGTTGTTCGTTACCTATTGTGTAATTTTCCATACGAACAATTGTATTGTACTTGGTACACTACTATTTAAAACTTTTCCTGAAGGCTTTAGGCTTTAAGGCGGTCCCAGTTACATTTCTAACACACCCCTGTGGATGCCCCGTGGAGAGGGGCAGGGGCCAGGGCAGAAGCAGGAGACCAGGGAGGCCAGCAAGGCGGCTGCAGCGGGGCCTGGGTGAGCGCCATGTGGCTTGACCGCTAGGCCGCGGTGGAAATGGAGAGGAGCTGGGTTCCGGGCTGTCCTGGGTGCGCACGTGGGGGAGGGGGTCTTCTGAGCCCCCAGAAATCCCTCCTGAGGTGCAGACACCTGGTCTTGCTCACCACGGTGTCTCCAGCACACAACAGACGATCAGTAAATCCGCGTGGACTGAGTGACTGGGAAGGTCCCTCGTGGGCTGCAGGCAGGTTCCGCTGGCCGAGGCACTGTCCCGGGCGGGCCCTGTGTGCAGGGAGGGGCTGAGCTCCGCTGCAGGTGGCTGCTCCGCTGCCGGTACAGCTTCAGTGGGTGCTGTCCCGTGTGGTGGGCTGGGGCTGCTGGTCTGGCTCTGACAGGTCCCTGCAGCATCTTGCACACGGACAGACAGTGGGACCAGGAGGGGGCGGCCCTGGGGACAGGAGAGCCCGAGCACACCCTCTCCTCTCCAGCTCCTCCGTTCAGGGCGTGGGCTTTGGGGTGGAAGGCCTTTCTCACCCACGCCCCGTCCGATGGGCACAGCCTCCCGTCAGCCCCAGCTGACTTTGTATCAAGTCAGAGTCCTGATTTTGGATGTCGGCGAGCTAAATATTTTTCAAAACACTGCATGGCCCAAACAGAACACAGCCACACCCCGATTCTGCCTTGGGCCTTTTCTGTGTCCCTCCTGGTCCAGTGGAGCCCCAGGTGGCAAACTGTCCACCCCAGATGGGCAATGAGGAAAGGATGGGGGTGCTGGGGGGCTTGGGCATCCCCGGGACCGATGTCATGGAGGCCGACTGTGGGTGACCTTGTGGCATGGCCCCGCTGGGTCCAGAGCGGCCTGGGAGGAAGGCTGACGCGCCTTTGCTTTCTTCCCAGTTTGAAGAAAGGAGAAGACTAGACGAATTGATCGAAAGCGGGAAGGAAGAAGGCATGAAGGTAAGGGGCGGCTGTGGGCTACGGTCAGAGTGACGCCTCACTGCTTCAGTCCTTTCGTGGTTACTGTTCGCTGTTCGTTGGTCGAGGGGCCAAATGCCAAAACCGTTGTCAAGGGTGCGACTCATGCGGAAACATAGCGGACTCTGTGTGAAATGTTAGCCCAAGGAAACGTTTCTAAAATTATGGTGAAACACGTATAACATAAAATGTAGGATTTCAGCCATTTCAGAGCGCACCATGAAGTGGCATTGAGTGCACTCACAGTGTTGTGCACTGATCACCCGTCCGCTTCAGAACCTTTTTATCTTCTCACACGGAACCGGAAACCCCGTCCCCATTAGCAGGTGCGCCCCAGCCCCTGGCACCCACCAGTCAGCTTTCTGTCTCTGGACCTGCCTGTGCCTGACAGTCCTACAGACGGGATCGTAGAATGGGGAGCTGCTGTGTCTGGCTTCCTCCAGTGAGCACCATGTCTGGGGAAACTTTTAAAAGGAGAAACGAATACATTTTTCCTTAACTCTGTTTTCCTGGGAAGTGGCAGTGCCCAAGAAACTTGCTTTTCTCCTGGTAAATTTCAGACACATTTGGGTGGATGAGAGGAGAGGAACTCTGGTAGCCAGGCGGGTCTGGGCTGGGATTCAGGGGCAGAAAGCTGTAGTCTCCACCCACCATCTAGGGAGATCGGGACTGAAGTCTGGGGCCCTGCAGGAGAGACTCAGAATCCTGGGTCCTCCTGCTCCCCCAAAGAGGCCAGCTGCGTGGATTTGAGTCCGTGCTACACCACTTCCTAGCCACATGGCCTCGGACGTGAGTCTGCCCCTCTGAGCCTCAGTTTTCTCACCCGCAAAATGGGGCAACACCCACCTAGCAGATTTCTCAGGAGACATGTGACACGGCTTTGCAAATGGGCACAAGGGAACCTTCTGGGTGACAGGTCGTGGTGATGGCTGCACCCCGGTGTACATTTTAATATACGTTGAACTGAACTCCGAGGCATACCTCAAGAAAGCTGTTCAAATGAAGGTACAACCCCCAGGCCTCCTGAGCCGGCCTCGAACCGTGGCATCTCTGGCTATTACGAACTAATCCTCTCTTTCATCACCTCCCAACAGATTGACCTCATCGATGGCAAAGGCAGGGGCGTGATCGCCACCAAGCAGTTCTCCCGGGGCGATTTTGTGGTGGAATACCACGGGGACCTCATCGAGATCACCGACGCCAAGAAGCGGGAGGCTCTGTATGCGCAAGACCCCTCCACCGGCTGCTACATGTACTATTTCCAGTATTTGAGCAAAACCTACTGGTAAGCCCACGAGTGCTGCGCATGGCAGAGAGGACGGGCCGCGCGGCCAAGGCCAGGAACACCCGATTCTGTGGCTCTGGCTTCCTGTTGAGTTCTTGCTGCCTTTTCTCAAAGCTCTGAAGCCGCTCTCCCCCACCCCCTTCCCATCTTCCAACTCTGGGCGCAGACGTGGACCGGTCACGTGAACACTGCTCCCAGGCTCACCTGCCTCCCCCTCTCAGGGCATTTGGCCAGGGCAGCTCTGGAAATTGCTGGCTGCTCCGTTCTCCAGATGGCCCGTGTACTGGATTGCTTTTTGTTGTGGGTTGTTTCTTAATAGACTGTTTTTTAGAGCAGGTTTAGGTACCAGCAAAACTGAGTGGAAGGTACAGAGAGTTCCCATACTCCCCACCCCCCCGCCCCCACGCACGGCCTCGGTCATTCCCAGCACCATTGACGTATTCATTTCTTGATTGTGCTGAGCTCTACAGTTGCCTCCCAAGCCTCCACAAAGAGCCCTTTGCGTTCCTGTCCCCTCCCACCCCCTGCCTGGGACACCCCGCCCGGTGCCTCTCTAGGCTCTTAAGATTTTTTTTTTTTAGTTGAATTGTTTTCCCAAAAGGCATGGCCATAAATTGACATCCTACCAGAGTTGAGAGCGCGTGTGACTCTGGCCGGGTTCAAAAGCCTCTTTATCAACCTAATCATCCTCTGTTGCCCTCCCTCCCGCCAGCGTGGATGCAACGAGGGAGACAAATCGCCTGGGAAGACTGATCAATCACAGTAAATGTGGGAACTGCCAAACCAAACTGCACGACATCGACGGCGTGCCTCACCTCATCCTCATCGCCTCCCGCGACATCGAGGCGGGGGAGGAGCTCCTGTACGACTACGGGGACCGCAGCAGGGCCTCCATCGAGGCCTACCCCTGGCTGAAGCATTAACCGCCCGCCTCCCCCCTCCAGTGGACAAAGTGCCCTCAAAGGGAATTGATTTTTTTTTTTTTACACACACTTAATATTAGCAGATTACTTCAGATGTTTTTAAAAAGTATATTAAGATGCCTTTTCACTGTAGTATTTAAATATCTGTTACAGGTTTCCACAGTGGACTTGAACAGATGGCCTTATATTACCAAAACTTTTATATTCTAGTTGTTTTTGTACCTTTTTTGCATACAAGCCGAACGTTTGTGCTTCCCGCGCTCGCTCGCGTGCATGCAGTCAGGCTCGGCGCAGGTTTCCGAGGAGAGTCTTCGAACACGAACCAGGAAGCGGGGGGCCGCGGAGCCCGGACTCTTCCCCGCACCCCGACGTCCGAGCGCGCACCCCGATGTCCGAGCAGCACGGGGCGGCCAAGACGACGCCTGCCGCCTCCCGACGGCCCCCACGGGATGTTCCCAAGCTCTTGTTTTCCTGCCGTCTGGACAGGCGCACCCGGAAGTGTATGAATCTTTTTTAAAGGGTTTCGCAGTAAGTTCGTCTTCCCCTCTGCTTTCTTGAAAGCTTGCTGACCCGGTGGCCCGCGGGCAGGGGCCGGGCCGAGGTTTCCTCTTCCACGGGCGGCCGCGTGTCCGGGCCCCTCGCAGCATCAGGGCGGGGAACCAGCAGACGCGGGCAGGGAAAAGCATTGCTCAGCCGGCCCGCCAGGGCAGCGCTTCCCGAAACTGGGGCAATTCTTTATAGAAATGTGAACACTGAATTTATTTTAAAAAAATAATAAAAATCACAAAAACACAAAAGGCAAAAAAAAAGAGAGAGAAAAACCACAGAAAACAACTTACATGTACATAGGTCATAAAGTGAGTGGAGTGGCTGCGTTTTTTTCTTTTCTTTTTTTTTTTCCTTTTACTTTGGGTTTGGTTTTTTTGTTTGTTTTTTTATAGAAGAGATTTGAGATGGTACTCTATTCTAATAAAAAATAAAGTTTTGTAGTGGGACCAGAAATTACTTATCCAATCCTCCCCCCACCAAATAGCCACCCTCACCCCCACCCTGACCCGATTCTGCTGGGTTGAAAGGTCCAGACCTGCTGTCATGCTGTTTGTCAGACCACCTGGTGTTCTTCCTGCGACACGCAGACCGCGCAGCCGAGAACCAAGGGTGAGCCCGAGAGCCCTGGAGTGCAGGCCCCACCCCAAGGGGAGGGGGCAGGTGCAGCACCCAGGGATCAAGGCGAAGGGTACAGTTTTCACCTCGACTGTGATGATTGTGACGGCAGGAGGTGTAGGTAGCTGCCCCCTCCCGCCCGAAGGGGGACTGATTCTCACTCTCTCCACCTGCGGTCCAGGGGGCCTGGCTCTGGAACCACCACCTGGGGTCTCCGGACCCCCTGGTCCCAGGTAAATGTGAATGGAGACAGGTGTGAGGGCCTGTCCTCAACCTTGGTGCCCCCCAGCCCCCACCCCGCGCACCCCAGCCTCACGACGGTGCTACCTAGGAAAGTCTTCCCCCCCGCCCCACACTTGCCTGGTCAGTGGTCAGCCAATTGGAGGAGGATCCGACGGAGCGTGTCAATGTGAAGTAAAATGTCTCGGTTGTACCTGTTTGTGGTTTAGCTTTGTATTTAAAAAACAAAAGGAAATAAACTTGAAAATTATTTGTCATCATAAAAATGAAACAAAAATTAAAATATTTATTGCCAGGCGAGGCCACCTGTGTGTCTGTTTCTTACGAGGGGAGGTAGGAGCGGAGGGGTGGGTTTTCGGGGTTTTGTAGGAGGGTCACACCCCCCTCAGTCGTCAGTTTCAGTGCCTGTCCCCCTGCGGGGCAGCTGCTTCATTTGTAGAAGGGTCACGGGAGCCTGGAGATAAGTTTGTGCATGTTCGGCCCTTACAGTGACGGCGCCTGGCACGCCGTGAGCACAAACGTGAGCCTGTGGTTGTCACTCGTTTCTGAGATCCTGGGTTTGATGTCAGGGACCAGCCGCGCCTGCCTCGTGCTGCAAGTCCCTCCTGCCAGCCCTCGACGGGTTGTTGGTTCGAGTAGCGGAGTGGGACTGTGGGTAGTGTCCTTGGTTTACAAGCAGAACTCCGCTTCCAGCACCGCCTTGGAGAGGTGGTCAGCCGGTCCCCTTGGACAGATCCCGCACTCTCTCGGAAGCTTGTCTGAGTGGGAACCGCCCCTGCCTGCCTGCTCTGCGGGGTGTCCTGGGGGTCCACTCCATGGACTGTTACAGCCTCGGCTTGGAGATCAGCTGTGCAGTGGGGGCTTGGGGATGTCAGGCTTGTGGAGGATGGATCTCGGCTGGACTCCCCGCTCAGTCCCAGGAGCCGCCCTTCCCCCCTCTCCTCTGCTCTCGCTGTCCCTTGGTCTGGCCCAGGTGGTTCTGAAGTCAGGACTCAGATCTGTTTCCCAAGTTGGCCCTCACCCCGAGGTGCAGGGATCCCCCCACCACTAAGAGGGGAGCACCCAGTCAGGGTGGCGGTGTCATACGGAGTTGGGGCCCTGACCTGAGAGTGCTGAGATGGCGTTCTCGACCAGACTCAAACGTTGCTGACTTATCTCAGGAAGCCAAGGGGTTGGGGCCTGGGCTGGGAAGTCTGCACCTGGGCTCAAGCCCCTTTTCCACACTTTAGGGCTGGGCTCTTGGACAAATCCCTTAGCCCCACAGTGCTGGGACCCAGGGGTACCATGGGAATAACTACCCGGCCCGCAGGGGTACTCAAACGGCACAGGCAAGGCCTGCCATGAATTTCGTTCATGATTAACATTAGTGATTTTTGGAGAACTGGGCTTGCACAGCTCCACGGATAAGAACCAGGCCTTAGGCATTTACATCCTGGGCAGCCCCCTCCCAGCTACATGACCTGTGGCCTACTTTAGCCTTTCGGAGTCTCAGTTTCCAGTTCTGTAAATGGGGTGGGGGGTGAGTACCAGCGCCCGAGTCCCCGACTTGTTACAGAATGAAGGAGAAGGTCCCTGCAGCAGAGCGCCGCGGCCTTTACTGAGGACACAGGCTCCCCCGGCTCATCGGTTTCTTCCAAAGTGCAGGCACCCACTGTCTATCTACTGTATTTCGTCAATTCCTAAATGTACATCTGGTTCACATTTAACATCTCTGAAATCAGAATGAGCCTTAAAGTCAACAGTGTCTTAATGTTATAATCTGTAACATTTTTTCTCTCACACTGACACACAAAATAATGGTACATCACTTAGACTCAATGCACCAAAGATACGCCAGCTCTCCGTACACACACAGTTCACAGACGTGGAAACCGAGACCTGAAAGGTCGCACGAGCTGAGAGACAACTCTAAAATACTTAAAGAAGGGAAGTCCTTTACTTTAATACAAAAATCTCCTCGTAAAGGAAGTCATGTTAGCAAAGTCAGAAAGTCACTAAATATCAGTGAAGTCTCCGGAAGGTCGATACCACACTTTCCGGCTTTCTCCCCTCTCCCTTTGGGCTGGTGCCTGGCTGCTCGGGCTGCCACACAGTGAAGAGCAAGGTCAAGTGTGGGGCCAGAGAGGCAGAGCACCGAGATCCCTCGACGGCTGACGTGGGCAGGTGGTGGCCGCCGTGCGCTTTCCTTCTGCTTTCTTTTTTTTATTTTCTGTTGGTTTTTCTTTTCCTTCTCCTTTTTTTTTTCTTTTCCTTCTGCTTTCTTGATTTCTGGGTGCCACTTGCCCTGCCCTGGTCACGCCTTCGGGGGTGTCCAGTTCTGCAGCCGGGGAGACAGTGATGGAGAGAGAACCTCACCTCCTCGCTCCTCGGACGGCGCGGAGGGGAAACACATGAGCGAGTGCAGTGGGTCAGCGTGGCACTGAGCAGACTGGGAGGTCTTCCTGGTGGGTTGTCTTCTAGAATCAGAACCGCCGCCTCCGATCTATGTCTGCTTCCCAGATCGGAAGGAGAACCTGGGTGGAGAGAGAGAGGGGTCAGAGGGAACAGACAAACAAGGCAGGGGCACAGGACCCGCCGCTGAACCCCCGGAAACAGGCCTTGGACTCAAACATGTACTCAGGGCTCATGATGAACAGGCTCTGACTGGGGGCTTTTCATCCAAAAGATCATTTCACACTCATAACCATTTGAGGAGGTGAGCACAACCAATATCCCCATGTTATGTTTATTTATTTATTTTAAAATATCTTTTTATTGATTTCAGAGAAGAAGGGAGAGGGAGACAACAGAAATAGAAACATCAATGATGAGAATCACTGATGGGCTGCCTCTGCACGTTCCCTATTAGGGATCGAGCCCGCAACCTGGGCATATGCCCTTGACTGGAATCGAACCCGGGCCCTTCAGTCCGCAGGCCAACGCTCTATCCACTGAGCCAAACCGGCTAGGTCATCCCCATTTTATAGATGAGCAAACCGAGGCTCTATGAGGTCAAGTCACAGGCCCGAGGTCACGCAGAAAGTTGCGAGCCCAGGGCCCACTAACCACTGCGCTATACTAACAGATGGACTCTGCCACCTTTTTTTTTTTTTTAGGTGGTTTTATTGCAGAGGAAGCAATAGCTTCTCAGTGCTACCTACAACTGTAAAACGGATCTTGGCAAAAAAAAAAATAGAGATTAGCATGTGAATTCTTAGATAAGACATAAATCATACAAAGCTATCTGAATACCAAACTTTCAGTGTTTTCCTGCAAAGTTTGGAAAAGGAACAATGATGTCTGGGGTTGATCGGAAAGTACAATCTCGGCGCTATTTCCAGTTATGAGAACGAAGCAAAGATCGCCGGGGTTGGGGGTTGCAGGGGGGTGGGAGGCTGAGAAGTCAGGATGGGATCGAGGCTCTTGCTTCTTATCAAAGAAGAACTCCCTGAGTGCTGCTGGCAGCCCTGCCAGCAATGGCCGGTGCGAGCCCTGAGCTGGTTTGGATCCAGGCCCTAGTGCTCTGCCATCCTCCCCTCCTCCACCCCAGTGCCCTCTCTCAGGAAGTGACATCAATCCTGCCCAGTCATTCGAGCCAGGAACCTGGGAGTTGTTCTCAAGTCCTCCCCCCACCCCCATCTGCTACATCTTAGTCATCGTGCCCCAAATATATCCCTAATCCCACCACGTTCATCTCCCCCCTCGCCACCCCCAGTCCAGACTTCAACAGCCTCCCGTCGCCCCCTACAATCCACGCATAGCAACCAAAGGTCCCTGTCACTCTGTAGAGCTGTCTTTCCCCAGCTTCAGCCCTCCCATGGCTCCCCCTCGGCTCTATCCACCGAACAAAGAGAAAAATCCAAATACTGTGTGATTCCACTTAGATGAGGTGCCTAGGCTAGTTAAATTCATAGGGTCAGAAAGTAGAATGGCCGGCCAGTGTGGCTCAGTGGTTGAGCATCGACCCAGGAACCAAGAGGTAGCCGGTTAATTCACGGTCAGGGCACATGCCCGGTTGGAGGCTCGAGCCCCAGTAGAGGCTGTGCAGGAGGCAGCCAATCAATGATGTTCTTCTCTCATTGATGTTTCTATTTCTCTATCCCTCTCCCGTCCTCTCTCTCTCAAAATCAATAAAAACATTTTTAAAAAGAAAAAGAAAGTAGAATGGTGGTTGCCAGGGGCTGGAAGAAGGATGAATTGAGACGTTAGTGTTTAATGAGCCCAGAATTTCAGGATGGGATGATGAAAAAATTCTGGGAATGGATAATGGTGATGGTTGCACAACAATGTAAATGTACTAACTATGACTAAAGTGTACACTTACAAATAGTTAAATCATAAACTTTATGTTATGTATATTTTGTCATGATTGAAAAAAATTTAAATCACGTGGACTCAGTTCTTCGTCAAAGACAAAGGATCTTATCGTGTACTGGCTAAAGCCCTGATACCCGATATGGTGGCCACTAGCTACACGTCCCAAGAGCCCTTGACGCATGGCTGGTCTTACTGAAATGTGCTGCAAGTGTAAAATATCCATCAGATTTCGAGGGCTCATATATATTTTTAAATTTCATTTGTTGATTTTAGAGAGAGGAAGGTGAGAGAGAGAGAAGCATCAATTGGTTGCCTCCCACACGCACCCCGAGGAGTGTCAGGGATGCACCCAGGTACCTGCCCTTGACCAGGAATCAACCTGAGATCCTCTGGTCCTCAGGCTGACTCTCTAACCACTGAGAACACTGGCCAGGGCTGGAACTGGATTTTCTTATTGGCTACAGCACTACCACCGGGAGAGTAGCACCTCCCCACCCAGGGCAGCCGGCCAGCCTCCCTTCGCCCCTTCGCCCCCACTCCGTCCGGCACTCATTCAGGGGCAGCGGCGGGCAGCAAGGTGACTTCACAGCTTCCTTATGATGGTCTTCTTCCTCCTTGTCTCTGCTGGCGTTGCTGGCCCTGGCAACCATAGGTCCTTTCCTCCTTCTCCCTTCGGGGGCCTTCTCTTGCGGAATCAGGCCACTGAGAAAGGGGGCAGACAAATGGGTGTTTTTATTGCAGACCTCTTATTTGTGCAGTTCTGAAAAGTGAAGAATCTTTTTTTTTTAATATATTTTATTGATCTTTCACAGAGAGGAAGGGAGAGGGATAGAGAGTTAGAAACATCGATGAGAGACATCAATCAGCTGCCTCCTGCACACCTCCTACTGGGGATGTGCCCGCAACCCAGGTACATGCCCTTGACCGGAATCGAACCCGGGACCTTTCAGTCCACAGGCCGACGCTCTATCCACTGAGCCAAACCGGTTTCAGCGAAAGTAAAGAATCTTAATCATTATTATTACATTAATAATTTCAGCACGGAAAGCTCCGGAGTCAGAAACTCTTCTCTCCACATGAGACTCTTCTCTCCACGTTTCCAATGCTGAAACCTCTTCTTTCCTTCTCTTGTCTGATTACATTGGCTACCAGTTCAAGCGACTCCACTTTGTAGGAGTATGACCATGTGTAAATTCTTTAACTTGGGCCTTGATTTCCTAAATGGTAAAATGAGGGTAACAGAAGTGCCTACCTCCTAGGATTGAGGGGTTAAGTGAGACAATAATACGTGAGACAATAATACATGGCACTCATTCAACAAATATTTATTAAGCGATGTACCGTGCCATGGTGCAATGAACAGCAATGAACAAAACAGAAAATATCTTCTCTCATGCAAGTTATATTCCAGTGGGGAAGGGAATGGTCAGTAAAAAAATAAGTAAAATAAAAAAAATACATAGTAAGTCGGATGATGGTACAGAGTTAGATTGATAGTGACTGAGAAGCTATGGGGGTCAGGTGATCCCAGGAGGGACCTGATGGGCAGAAGTTGGAAGAAGGCTGTTCTGCCAGCAGTCATGCTTCCTAGGATTCAGAGAAGGGCTGTCCGTATGCAAGGTAGTGAGGACAAACAAAGGGAAGCAAAGAGGAGAGAAAGAGGCACCGGGTCCCTGGTGCCCACCCCGAGGCCTTCGCTGCAGTTTTTTTCTTCATTTTCTGAGAGCAATTCCAGGACCCTTCCCAGCTACGTGGGCCAATCAATTGTGAGAAGAGACACCAGAGGGCTGCTCTCTCTCTCTCTCTCTCTCTTTCTCTCTCTCTCTCTCTCTCTCTCTCTCTCTCTCTCTCTCTCTCTCTCAGGCCCTGTGAGGACACAGCCAGAAGGAAGTTGCCTAGGAGTCAGGAAATGTCAGCACCAACCATACTGGCACCTGGATCTGGGACTCGTAGCCTCCGGAACCGTGAGAAAAGACACTTCTATTGCTGAAGCCCCCAGTCTAGGATATTTTGTTACAGCAGCCTGAGCTGACTGAGACGCCCCTTTACATATGAACTTCGGAAAGCAGAACCCACCCTTCTCTCTCCGTTGCAAAGAGTGGATTCTTATTAGTTACTATAATATTATATTTTTATTATAATATTAATATTTCATAAGAGGCATCGTCTAAAAATTTCCCCTTTCCACTATCTATTGTTATTTGACGCCCTGAAACTTAGATTTACAACAGGGTGGCTTATGAGTCTCAGGATGGCTGTCCTGCTTAGGGTTGGCCTGGTGGCTCTCAAGCAGCTGCATGAATTGGTGGATGAGCTGGGGGCTGGGCACCTTGGTTCTCCTTCACGTGACCTCTCCTTGTGACTGCCTTGACTTCTTCACAGCATGGCGGTCTCAAGGCAGCATTCCAAGAGCACAAGGCAGCATTCCAAGAGCATAAAACATGGAAGCCTGGAGGTCTCTTAGATCCTTAAGCCAAATGGCACGTTCCATTGACCAGAGCAAGTCACAGGGCCGCCCTGATTCAAGGGGAGGGAAGTCTCTACCGCTTGGTGAGAGGAGAGGAAAAGTCTCCTGGCAAAAAGCATGCTCGATGGGGACAACAGTTGTGGCCACCTATGGAAATAGCCCACCATAGCTGCCTTCAATCTAAAATGATCTTTAGGCTGGCCAGCGTGGCTCAGTGGTTGAGCGTCACCCTACGGACTAGGAGGTCAGGGTTTGATTCCCGGTCAGGGCACGTGCCCTGGTTGTGAGCTCCATCCCCAGTGGGGGCATGCAGGACGCACCTGATCAATGATTCTCTCTCATCATTGATGTTTCTATCTCTCTCTCCCTCTCTCTTCCTCTCTGAAATCAATAAAAATATATTTTAAAAAATATAATGATCGTTAGTATGAGCTTAGGCCTCCAGATGCCACTGCTAAGAGAACACCTCAGTTGACAGGCTCGTTTCTCCAGGACAGAGAGCGCGAGAGACCAAGCCGACCCTGCTGTCTCGGCCTGCACCAGATGGGAAGGGCACATCTGCTGTTTGCTGGGAACTCAACACTGGAAACAAAGGGTGTTGCTTTATTCCCTCACAAGCTGCCAGTTTGGCGGCTCCTGGCTTTAACTACCTGTGTCTGAAATACTTATCAAATGAGACAAAGACAGGTCTTTCCATGAACATGGTTCCAACCTCGGCAGAAGGCAGACAATGAAACGCCTGCTGACAGAACTCAGCCCTTTTGGATTTGGCTTCCTAGGACGTTTCTGCTTTGCCACTGCCGTCTTCATGATGCTCGAGGAAAGAACGGAAAGAATAACATCACTCGGGCTCTGTCTGGAATCAGGATCCGCCCTGCCTTCCAAACGTGCAGGGTCCAAAGGTGGCCGGACAGGAAACGTGCAGGCTGGGCGCTCGGGCTGCCTGAGGACACGCCTCACTGTTGCCACCAGCAGCCGTGGACTTCCAGCAGGTACTTGACCGCACAGGCCTGCGGTGAGCACCGGATGAAGTGATGCCTGGGACACACTCAGCCGAGCGCTGACCCTGGCAAGCACTGCTAACCATGAGCGGGTTCTGCGTTTTTATTCGCTTGCTCTCACCCTCTTCTGCCTCTAAAGAAACCCACCTGTGTAACTCAGTGTTTCCCAGAGCCGTGCAACCACACAGCCCCCGCCCCCCTTTTCAAGAAACACCAAAACGAAAGACAACATTTTGGGGGACAGAGGCTCAGGTGGATATAGCAAAGTCCAACCCTGATACGTCAACAATTTCCTTTGTCCTATAGCAGTGATGGCGAACCTTTTGAGCTTGGCGTGTCAGCGTTTTGAAAAACCCTAACTTAACTCTGGTGCCGTGTCACACATAGAAATTTTTTGATATCTGCAACCATAGTAAAACAAAGACTTATATTTTTGATATTTATTTTATATATTTAAATGCCATTTAACAAAGAAAAATCAACCAAAAAAATGAGTTCGCGTGTCACCTCTGACATGCCTGTCATAGGTTCGCCATCACTGTCCTATAGTCCCTCCGTTCACATATTATTGTGATCTTTTATAACTTTGGATTTTTAGATAATTTAAAACTTAGAGAAAAGTTGTAAGATTAGTAAAAAAGACTTCCCAAATACTTTATCCCAGATCCCCCAATTATTTATGTTTATCCCATCTTACCTTTTTAAATCTTATTTTATCTTATCTTTCCATCCAACCACCCACCGATCCACCTACCTACCCCACCCTTCATGCATCTACTTTCTTTCTGAACCACTTGAGAGTAAGTTGGAGACATCTTACTTCTTTATTCCTGAAGAATTCAGTGTAGCCCTAACCGGTTTGGCTCAGTGGATAGAGCGTCGGCCTGTGGACTGAAGGGTCCCAGGTTTGATTCCAGTCAAGGGCATGTACCTTGGTTGCGGGCACATCCCCAGTAGGGGGTGTGCAGGAGGGAGCTGATCGATGTTTCTCTCTCATCGATGTTTCTAACTCTCTATCCCTCTCCCTTCCTCTCTGTAAAAAATCAATAAAATATGTTTAAAAGAAAAAAAATAATTCAGTGTATACTTCCAAAGGGCAATGATATCCTCTCATAACCAAATAGTTCAGTTATCAAAATCACCTCATTGATCCTTTAAATGGATCTTGTCACTCCCTCGATTAAACCTTCCCTACTTACAATAAAGTCAGAGCTCTTGCCTGTGGTGGACAAGGCACCACTCCCCAGTCTCTTCCAGACCACCCTCCCCTGCGTTTCAGGTTCCCCCCTGCTGGGTCTCTTTAACTGGCCACGCTGGTTCCCACTTCTGGTCTTTGAACTTCTTGCTCCATTCTGGTCCTACCGAATCTATACATGGTTGTCTGCTTCCTGCCCTTCACCTGAGAGGGGTTGTCCCTAACTACTCAATTTGAAACAAGTTCCTCCCTGTCCCGCCTGTGTGACACTGTGGTTGAGTATTGACCTATGAACCAGGAGGTCACGGTTCTATTCCAGGTCAGGGCACACATGCCTGGGTTGTGGGCTTGATCCCCAGTGTGGGACATGCAGGAGGCAGCCAGTCAATGATTCTCTCTCATCATTAATGTTTCTATCTCTCTCCCTCTTCCTTCCTCTCAAATCAATAAAAAAATATTTTAAAAATAATAAACACATAAATACATAAATAAATAAATAAATAAATAAATAAATAAATAAATAAAACAAGTCCCTCCCTCCCCAACTCCCTCAGCACTTGGGTCTGGGTCACACCCCCTGCTTTTATCTTCTTTAGAGCACTGATACCATGTTCCTGAGTGCTTACTTCAGGCTTTCTTGCTGCCTACCTGTCTCCCTAGATGAGCATGCACTTGCTCCATCTGGGTCACGGCTACACCCCCACCGCCGGGCATCATGGGGCTCGGATAAGTTGGTTGAATGGACATGGGAGCAAATATGGGACGTTTGAGGGCGCCCTCGAAGGCGGCAGAGCCCACCTCTTGTAGCACTGCAGCTCCTCCTGCGCCAGCAGCAGCTGCGCCTTGAGCTTGTTGCGCTCCTGCAGCACGTCCCTCAGCTCCTGCAGAGTGAAGCGCGGCCGGTTGGGGTCGGTCAGGTCAACCATCATCTTGCCTGGTCCCAGGCTTCCCTGGAAGAAAAGATGTCACTGATGCAGTTTCTCTCAGGAGGATGAGCTGTCCACCCCAGAAAGCAACGTTCTCTGGTTTGGTTACTCCCGGGGCCCTAAGGAGAGGAGGTGTTGCCTGTTGGGAGTGTTTGGCTGGCGGTAAAGAAGCGAAAGCACCATTCTCCAAGAAAAGTGCCAGGGCTCCTTTGGCTCAGTGGATAGAGCGTTGGCCCGCGGACTGAAGGGTCCCGGGTTTGATTCTGGTCAAAGGCATGTCCCTTGGTTGCGGGCTTGCACCCCGGCCCAGGTCAGGGCGAATATGGGAGGCAACCAATCTCACATCCATGTTTCTCTCTCTCTCTCTCTCTCTCTCAGCATGTCATCGGGTGAGGATTTAAAAAACAGGAAGAAAATTGTGACACATGGATGAACCTTAAAGACATTATGCTAAGTGAAAGAAGCCAGTCACAAAAGGACAAATACTATATGAGTCTACTTACAGGAAGTACCTAAAATAGGCAAATTCATAGATGTAGAAAGTAGAACAGTAGCTACCAAAAGCTGGGGGGAGGGAGAAATGGGGAGTTGTTGTTTCGTGAGCACAGAGTTTCAGTTTTGCAAGATGAAGAGATCTGGAGAGGATGGTGGTGATGGTTGCACAACCATGTGAATGCACTTAATGCTACTGATTTTTAAAAGGGTTAAAGCGGTGAATTTTATGTGTACATGATCACAATTAAAATAATAATTTAGAAAAGTAAATGAAAAAATAAGGCCTATTTGTATGAACTGTCTAATGGAACTAAACATTCATTCTCTCTGCCTTCTCCCCACCCCCCTGTTCTGAAGTCTGTGGTTTGGGAGGAAAATGTGCCATCTCATCTGCTGGCTGATGAAGCCTGTCCACTGTGCCCCTATGGGAAGTCACACTGTTCACAGTCCCTGGTGGGGCCTCCTCCCAGTCCTTGTGCCTGGAGTTGAAGGTGACGGGAGGAGGGCACAGGGCATGAGCTGTGATGCTGGGTGAGTCACTGAACTGCTCTCGAGTCTCAAAAGCCAGGCTGCTCATCATGATATTCAACCACCTCCTATGATGATACGAAAGTAGAGCCTTGCCCTAGCCCAGTGGTCGGCAAACTGCGGCTCGCGAGCCACATGCGGTTCTTTGGCCCCTTGAGTGTGGCTCTTCCACAAAATACCGACTTCTGCGCATGGGCCACGAAGTTTCAAACGCACTGTATGTGCGCGCCCGCACGTGGTATTTTGTGGAAGAGCTGTGTAGTATTCCATCGCATGGATATACCACCCTTTAAAAACCCACCCACTCCTCTGGTGCATCTGGATTCTTTCCAGTTTGGCACAAGTACGAATAAAGCTACTCTGAATATTCTCACACGGGTCTTTTTTGTGGTCATAAACACTAATTTCTCTTTAGTCAAATTTTACATCTTAATCGAGGTCAAAGACAAAGTGTGATGTCTGGACCAATAGCATCAGCATTATCTGGAAGCTCATTTGAGATGCATATTCTCAGGTCCCAGTCCTGACCTATTGAATCAGAAACTCTGGGGCTGGGGCCCTGCAGTCTGTGTTTTATTTATTAATTATTTTTTTATTTGCAGTCTGTGTTTTAAAGAACACCCAGGTGATGGTGATGCCGGCTTAAGCGTGGGAACCAGTGCTCTAGGTCATGGTCAACAATGCTAGCGGCCACTGATTTAGAACTACGCAGGACAGGGCCCAGCACCTAGTAACTGCTCCATAAATGTTTACAATCGCAGCGTTTCCAATCTGAGGGCTGGCTACGCGCAGTGCTCTGCTTGGAGGGGCTTGGATATTCAAGAGAGGAAAGGGTTAGACGGCAACCTATGACCCAGGAGATCACTATTCCTGGTCAGGGCATAAACCCGGGTTGTGTGGGGCGTGCAGCAGGCAGACAATCAATGATTTGCTCTCATCATTGATGTTTCTATCTCTCCCTCTCGCTCCCTCTCTAAAATCAATTTAAAAAGTATATTTTAAAAGAGAAAGAGAGAGGAAAGGGGCCTCCGTGCCAGCGGGCACTGCCCCACGCGCCCCTGCCTCCCGCACTCACCTCGGGGCTGGCCGCCGCGCCCTCTCTCCGCAGCCCCTCCACCTCCTTGCGGAGGCTGTCCCGCTCCATCCTCAGCTCCTCCGCCGCCAGGCTGCCCTCGCTCACCAGCGTCTCCAGCATCTCCAGCACGCGGACGATTTTGAACTGCAGCTGTGTCACCCGGGGGTCGCTGCCCAGCGCCATCAGCTCGCGGCCCACCACGTAGGAGATGTCATACACGTCCTCGGCGGTCAGCTGGAAGGGGCTCTTGCGCAGAGCCCCCTCGGGCCCAGCCTCGTCCTCCTCCTCCTCTTCCTCCTCCTCCTCTCGCAAAGGGGGCTCCTCCATCTCCATGGCCGCGCAGAGCCCCGCAGCCTCGGGAGCTGCTGTCTCCGAGTCTTCAAAGGTCCAACTTCCTCCGGACACAGAAAACTTTCCGCTGGGCAGTGGAGCCCGCGCAGGGGAAGGCCCGGGAGCGGCCAATCAGCGCGGCCGAAAGGGGGGAGCCGCGGGGATCCGGAGGCAGCGCGCGGCTCTCAGGCCCCGACGCCCGGTGCGCCCGCCGGGCTGCGGACCAGGCAGAAGAGCGCCTCCAGGATGTGGTTTGGGGAACGAACGCCGATGAGAAGGAGGGCAGCCGAGAAGAGGAACGGAGGGGAGACGGGGTGACAGTGATTGCTCCCCACCTGGGAGCCGCTGCAAACTCGGGGCGGAGCTGCGGCTCGGAGCTCCGCCCCTGGTGACTGCGGCTACGGACGCCGGGTTTCCACGGAGACGGGGGCGGAATTTCCGACGTCAGGCGGTGAGGGAGAGCAAAAAAAGCACCAACTTTTTCCTCTCTACACTCAAGCTTTCCAGCCTCACAACTGGCATTGCACCTGGAGGGAGCTCTGGGTCTCCGTGATATTTCCTGAAGTCTGCGACCAGACAGGAAGCAGTGGTTGGGGGCCGCGCACAGGTGGGTGCAGGAGCCTGGGCTGCCAGAAGCTCCCAGGCCAGTGGTCGCCAGGGCCTGGGGCTTCTGACCCTCAGTGAAGCGGCGAATCCCTGCGCTGTGCGCTTTGCCGACTCCGGGGCTCCTCCACGTAATCAGCCTTGTGGCCTTGGCCAAGTTACTTAACTCCTCCGAGCCTCGGTTTCCTCCCCAGCGAATAGCAGTACCGAAGCGGAGGGGTTGCTGCGAGGAATATACCAGCTGAGATAATGAGATAATGCGTGTGGCAAAAAGCACCCAGGAAGCGCTCCTTCCTCTCCAGACACAAACATGAAGCTCGTGTGCCAGACGGACACTTGGCACATGGGTTGGGGTGGGTACATTCTCCAGATACAGAGGGTGTTACTGCGCGGATCAGCAGTGGGGAGTGCAAAGTGAATGACTTCTGTTTTGCTGAGAGGTTTGTAACAGGGAGAAAGCTCAGCAACCGAGCTTGCCTTTCCCCGGAATACGCTGCCAGCTTTCTTTGTAAGCAAGCAAAATAGACACTATTTTCAAAGGGCATGATGTTCTGATGATCAAAGGGAGGATCCTAGGCAAGGGCTCAGATGTTACAATGCTCAGTGATTAAATACCGAGATACAATATAAATAAAAATGGTATAGCCACACAATGGAATAGTGTTCAGCCATAAAAGCAATGAAGGAATAGGGAGCCCAGAAATAAAACCTAACATATACAGTCAAATGGTTTTCAACAAAGATGCCAAGGCCATTCACTGGGGAAAGGACAGTGTTTTCAACAAATGGTGTTGGGAAAATTGGATACCCACATGCAAAAGTATGAAGTTGGAGCCATACCTTACACCATACACAAAAATTAACTCAACGTGGATCAAAGACCTAAACCTAAAAAGCTCTTAGAAGAAAACATGACATAAAGCTTATGTCATTAGACTTGGCAATTTCTTCAAAAGCACAGGCAACAAAAGGAAGATACATTGGGTTACACCAACATTTAGAACTTGTGCATCCAAGAACACAATTAACAGACTGAAAAGGCAATCTACAGAAGGGGAGATAGTTGCAAATCATATCTGATAAGGGGTTAGTATCCAGAATATATGTGAATGCCTACAATGCATCATCAACAACGAAAAAACCCAAGTAATGGGCAAAGTAAAAATCAAGGCAAAATCCTTAGCAAGATATAGCAAACAGAATTTGACACAACATAAAAAGTGTTATATACTACTAGAGGCCCGATGCATGAAATTCATGCAAGAGTAGGCCTTCCTGCCGTAACCAGTTTGGCTCAGTGGATAGAACGTCGGCCTGCTGACTGAAAGGTCCCAGGTTCGATTCCGGTCAAGGGCATGTGCCTTGGTTGCGGGCACGTCCCCGGTGGGGGGTGTGCGGGAGGTAGCTGGTTGATGTTTCTCTCTCATCGATGTTTCTGACTTTCTGTCCCTCTCCCTTCCTCTCTGTAAAAGATCAATAGAATATATTTTTTAAAATATACTTATTTTTACTGAGTTCAGAGAGGAAGAGAGAGGGAGAGAAACATCAATGATGAGAGAGAATCATTGATTGGCTGCCTCCTGCATGCCCCAAAAAGGGATTGAGCCCACATCCCGGGAATCCAACTGTGACTTACTTCCTGGTTCACAGGTCAATACTCAACCACTGAGCTACATCAGCCAGGCTCAGCTCTACAACGTTTTACCTGTGCATATACTTGTTTGACCTCCACTGAGATCAAGATATAGCATATTTTCAGCACTCCAGAGAGCTCTCTTAAAATTTTGGTCAATAACTGCTCAGCTGGTGTGGTTCATTGGTTGAGCATCGACCTATGAACCAGGAGGTCATCATTCCATTCCCAGACATACCCAGGCTGCAGACTCAAATGCCAGTAGGGGGCATGTAGGAGGCAACCAATCATTGATTCTCATTCTCTCTGATCATTGATGTTTCTATCTCTCTCCCTCTCCCTTCTTCTCTGAAATCAATAAAAAAATATTTTTAAAAAAACATTGTGGAGCTGTACGCAATATTTGTGCATTTCCTTTAGGTAACACATACCTAGATAAAGTGCTGGGGCTGGGGTGGGGAGGGAAGGAATGAAGCAGACACTCACTACAATGTGGATGATCTCTGGCAACACTTTGCTAAGTGAAAAAAGCCAGTCACAAAAGACCACGAATTGTACGATTCCATTTACATGAAATGTGTAGAACAGCAAATCTATTCTGTAGAGACAGAAAGTAGATCGGTCGTTGTCTAGAGCTGGGGAAGAATGGACGGCAAGTGTCTGCAAATGTGGACAAGGTTTCTTTTTGGGGTGATGAAAGTGTTCTAAAGTTAGATGTGGTGATGGTTGCACAATTCTGTAAATACACTAAAAACCACCGAATTGCGCACTTTAAGTGGGTTAATTTTATGATTTGTGAATTATGTCCCAATGCTGTTAAGTGGAAGTAGCCTTCCTACAGCAACAGTGTCAGAAAGAATTTCATGTTGTTGAGTTTCTTTTTTTTACCTCCGGTATCCCCAGCCACCACTGCTGGCGTCAATCTCTTCCACACCATTGTGGTTGTCAAAAGTCTGCTTGAAATTTCCCTAGAAATTCACCCTCTAAGGCACTGTATCTTCCTTACTTTGTGCTTTATACCCTTTGCTACATAGTCTTTTTTTTTTTAATCTTAAAGAGAGGAAGGGAGACAGAGAAACATCGATTTATTGTTCCACTTATTTATACATTCATTTATTGATTCTTGTAGGTGCCCTGACCGGGGATCAAACCCACAGCCTTGGCGTATTGGGATGATGCTCTACCGAACTAAGCAACCCGGCCAGGAATTCAGGTAGTCTTGACTTGGACCTCACAAATTCCTACTTGCTGGTACATAAGTTGGATCAAATTCCTTAATCTCTCCAAATTCCCATTCCCTCACTGTAAACTGGGGGGGGAAAGTAGTCCCCAAGACTGTTGTAAGGATTGGATGAGATAAGGCATAGAAAGTGCCTTGTCCAGTGTCTAGGACATCATAAGAACCAATGGCTGTTGCTTATTATTACAAAGTGTTAATGACTCTTAGATTCCTCCTACAATTAACTGCACAATCTGTTGGCAGGTAATCATGACCCTTCTTTCTCCGTTGGGAAATTATGAAAACAATTACGGGTTATTATAGAGGTTCTTTTTTTTTTAAAATATATTTTTATTGATTTTTCACAGAGAGGAAGGGAGAGGGATAGTTAGGAACATCGATGAGAGAGAAACACCGATCAGCTGCCTCCTGCACAGAGAGAAACACCGATCAGCTGCCTCCTGCACACCCCCCACTGGGGATGTGCCCGCAACCAAGGCACACGCCCTTGACGGGAATCGAACCTGGGACTCTTCAGTCCGCAGGCCGACGCTCTATCCACTGAGCCAAACTGGTTAGGGCTATTATAGAGGTTCTTAAAAGTGTGCTCCATTCATTCACAATAGCCAAAAGGTGGAAATAACCCAAATGCCCACCTGCCGAAGAATGGATAAATAAAAAGGCTCCAGACCAGCCACGGAGGCATCACCTGGAAACTTTTTAGAAATGCAAATGTTTGACCCACTGAATCAGAAACGTTGGGGGTGGGCCCCAGCGATCTGTGTTTTCACAAGCCCTCTAGGGAATTCTGATGCACGCTCAAGTTTGAAAAGCAATGAGTGGTAGCACAGTGTTCAAAAGGGTGGGTTCTAGACCAGACCACAAGTGCTCAAACCTTGACTGGCTCAGCCACTTGCAAGCTGTGTTATATTAGACGAGTAAATTAGGCCTCTCTCTACTCCAAGCTGTTTTCCCAGCTGTAAAATGGGGCTGAGGACAGAACAGACTTCCTAAGATTGTTGTGAAGGGCTTTACAACAGCGTCTGGCACATAGTAAGTGCTCAGTAGACGGCAGCTATTATAAACTACTTTTTTTGCTAAAATGAGAAATATAAGAAATTGCCCAAGTTCATATCATTACATGGGAACAATATATGGAAAGTTGGATCCGTAACACACATAGAATGTCTACAAAAAGTTTTTTTAAAAGTCTCAATGAGCCCTAGCTGGTTTGGCTCAGTGGATAGAGCGTCAACCTTCGGACTGAAGGGTCCCAGATTCAATTCTGGTCAAGAGCACATGCCTGGGTTGCAGGCTTGATCCCCAGGAGGGAGCATGCAGTAGGCAGCTGATCAATGATTTTCTCTTATCATTGATGTTTCTATCTCTCTCTCCCTCTCCCTTCATCTCTGAAATCAATAAAAATATATTTCATAAAATAAAAATAAAAAGTCCCAATGAACCCTGCCTGTGTGGCTCAGTGTTTGAACGCTGACCTATGAACCAGGAGGTCACGGTTGGATTCCTGGTCAGGACACATGCCCGGGTTTTGGCTGCATCCCCAATGTGGGGTGTGCAGGAGGCAGCCAATCAATGATTTTTATCATTGGTGTTTCTATCTCTCTCTTCCGCTCTGAAATCAATTAACATATAT